GACGAAAAAAGGAAAACAACTTGTTAACTTTGATTATCAAAATGTAAATTCTCTTTGCTCGCGCCATCATCACGTCAACAGCTCGTGCTAGTTCTGTGTTTCTATCGAGTTTTGGTATAAATCTACTAGCGTTCTATCACGAATGTCGTTCCCTGATTATCTACACTACTCACTATCTATTCTGTGATAGATAGTGAGTAGCGTAGTAGTGTGCTCTTGTTAACAAAATTGGCGTTTTCGAAGTGTCTGTGAAGAGGATTTAGCTGAAAGTTCTGAACGACTAGCAGATTTATACTAAAACAATTAGATTATTCGCTCTCGATTTCTATGCGTGATAGAAATCTCGAGCTCATAATCTAATCGTTTAATAGAAACATGGTTTTTAACCAATCAGCGTGCGTATTTTCTTAGGACTATTTTCTAATTACCTTGAATATATGGCAAGTTAGTCTTGAGGTAAATCAGAATGTTCTGATTGGTTATTTCTTGGTCGGGATTTCACTATACAGGTCATTTGCAAGGAACCGGTTATAAGCCATGTATTTTTTGTTTTCCAAAGCCAGCAAATTCAATAAACAAGCAAGCCCTTGAGTTCCCTATAATAAACTACTTACTAACCTAGCTTGCTCGAGCCATACTGGGCAATATTAGCCCTTGGTCGTTTTAGAATAGACCTGGCTGTGCTTCGTCAGTACTGCCACGACCTCAGGTAAATATTCCCCAGTATGGCATTCATGCTTGGTTAGTAAGAGGTTAATATTAAGCCAGTGAGGTTTTTATTACAGAATGAGGCGTCTCCCTCATTATGAACACTTACCTTAACATCCAAGTGTTTTCAGATAATTTTATCCGACCTAAACCGTCACCGCGCCACACCTCTATGCACAAAAATGTTTCCTTATTATTAACCCACTGATCCCTTGGAGTGGCTTGAGAACTCGTGCTCTGGTTTTCCATACATACACCAAAAACGTCCACAAAGGTTGCTAGTAAAACTACTGACAAAGATTGGTAATTAAACGACGGAAGGAATGGAGATAAGTGATGAATTTTTTTTCCTGCAGATTTGTCCTCACCATGGTGTCGAGATATCTAATCCTGACTACAGGGATGCTTCAACAAAAGAAAATGATGTTAACATTGAAAGAGTGGCAGAAGTAATTAAATCCTACTTTCCTGGTGTGAAACCACAGCCAAGTATTGTGGAGACTTGTATCTATTCAGTGAGTTATCCGTAGTGTTTTTTTTTTGTAGTTCTGTGAGCAAATATTGACTGACCTTTTAAACATCACTCTTCAGTTAAGTGTGTCAGCAACTAAGTTGTTCTGCGAAATTTTCGAAGGATGCTAGATATGGTCCAGTTCTTATATTACTGTATTTAACCCACCCCTACCCTCCCAGTGAAGCCCATTGCTTCCCCCTTTTCTGAACAAGTTGTTTAGTAATTGGGGATATGCCCTCTAGGCTTCTTGTTTTCTCCATGCAGTTAGATGAGTTTTGCGTACTAGGTACGTTTCCATTTCTGTACTCCATCCCCGCGCTATAGTGGAAAAACTGTCATCTAGTGAATCTATAAATGAAGAAATAATTTTGTTTAAATATATTAAAAAAACCTCTTCACATGAAGTTTTGGTTTTACATGTGGCACACATACGTATATGTAATAATATTCCCGCCTGACATATCCTCTCCATCCCCAATCTTTTCCTCAGAGCCGGTTTTTCGGTGAGCATGTACAAAGAGTGTTCATTTCCGATTATCAAGCAATCGGCTTTGACCGAAAACCACCAGAAGTCCTTGATTTGAGGACTTTCAAATTAAACTTGACCAGAGTCCGTTTTGTGCTGACTAAAAGAAAAGCTTGCACTTTAAGGTCAAGAAGGCTCCATCTCCAGATTATATCTCGACATTATGTCCCATGATAAATGGTACCAGCTTAAACTTGGTGGGAGAGGGAGTGTCAATCTCTTAGTCCCCATGCCCCCAACAACTGTCTAAATAATTCTTGCATCTTTGTTGTCACAGCTGACTCCTGATCACTTGTTTGTGTTGGATAGACACCCTGAATTCCAGAATATTGTAATTGGGGCTGGTTTTTCAGGTAAGTGAATGATTATCACATACAGTGGAAACCCGCCATACGGTCAGCCCGTTAAAACGGCCATCTCGTTACTACGGCCAGATTTTTGTACCCGTTGGTGACCAGACTAACGGGGTTCCACTGTAGTGCACACGGTAATGACAGGTAATCATGACCTACGGTTAGTGTCTCACTAAAAGAAAAAATGTGATTGCTAGTTCAGGCTTTATAAGAATTACTTTGTCTCGTTTAAAGTCAAAGGGCGAAGGTGTGAAGATATCAACTTTGAATAATCGGGCCCCAGGAACTGAAACCAAATACAGCATATTCTCACTATCTACTTAACCACGAAACTAGGGTGTGCGCATTACGCTGGCATGCGTGATTGTAACACCTCAATGGTCTAAAGTCAATGCCGCTTGTGTTCTTAGAGTTTTCTTCTGCCTATTTAAGCAAACGTTGTCTGCTCTCTCTCGCCAAGTTACACTGTTCAGGGAAAGCAAAAGTTTTTTCCCGCCAACCTCCCCTAAGGCGACGAGCCATTTCGTTCTCTATCGTTCATAGAAAACGAGGGCGAGTAGTCTAGTAGTTTTAGTAGACACTCTAAAGGATTAAAGAACAAAACCTACAATTTTGTGTAATTTTAAGCCCAAAGTTAAGAATAATTTTCAGTTTCAAGAGCAGCGCGCGCGCGATCGTTGTCTCTCATTGAATAGAAAACGACGAGGGAACCAATCAGATAAACCAATCAGATTGGGACATTTTCAATAGAACACAGCTGAGTGGCCATTAATAGTGATCCCCGAACAGACGCACCGCAACATTTATGTTAAATTGAATGTGAAAATGATTGATTGTATTTAATTGTCAGGTCATGGTTTTAAGATGGCGCCTGTTGTTGGTAAGATCCTGTCACAGATGGCGCTTGGTGAGAAGGTGCTGTATGATGTGCTGCCTTTCAGACTCTCCAGGTTTACGAACCATTTAGCAAGGAAATCTTCACTATAGACTGTTGAAGACAAACATTTTTATACGTCTAACAAGTTTTGCTCCCTCTTCAATATTTATGATTCACAGAGAGCTGAGACTCGATTATGAGCTCGAGGTTTCTATCGCGTGACAGCTGACGAGGGCGCAGCCTGAGTCAACTATCACGTATAGAAATCGAGAGCGAATAATCTAATTGTTTTACTATAAATCTACTAGTCGTTCAAAACTTTATCTAAATCCCCCTTCACAGACACTTCGAAAACGCCAAGAAGCGGCGGTCATTTTGTTAACAATTACACCCTTCGCCCTCAAGGGCCACGGGTCAATAGCCCATTTGGCTTCGCCTCGTGGGCTATTGACCCGTAGCCCTTACGGGCGAAAGGTCTAATTGTTAAATAGACGTTATCACGGTTTTCGACGCCATCTTGAGGGGTATCTTGGCTGGGTAGACGCGGTTCGCTGGAAAGAAAAATTGCAGAGAAATGTATGAAAAATCAGAAAAATTAACTGAGCGTCTTCTAGCCAAGCTATATCCTTCAGACTTGGTGAATACAATCCTCTACCTAGCATTTTAACGTTGCCATTCACAAATTGTTTAAAATTCAATTTTGGAAAAAGTTACTTGCCATCAGATTCCCATACAAACACTGTAATTTCTGACCGCTTTGCCTACCCGTCGAGATGGCGCCGAAAACCGTGATAAGGTCTATTAGCGGGACTGGACATCATTTCAAAATGCGCGTGAAGTAGGGTGTACCCTGATTCGTTCTCTACTTCGTAGAACACGTGGTATTAAAAGAGAAAGCTCGAGCAAATTTGTGGGATTTGAGGACAAATATCTTCACTTCTATATTCCTGGAATAAATCTTGTGAGGCATTTGAGCTCCAGAGCGGTGCTTATGCCCTGACACAGCTACTTTCTGATCAGGAAAGACACTGACAACGACATTTTAAGCTGAATCTTACTTGATTCTGGTATATATTTTAAGTAGAAGAGTTATGTTTTATCAGAAACTGCTTTCATTCAAAAACGTCTCTTAGTGGGTTTTAATAAGTGGGCCGAATGGCTTCCCTCAGTTCGATTCCACTGTAAAAAGTCGACAAATTTACGATATACCAGTGTCATTTCAGAAACGTGCAATTATTATGGGGCTTGTCATAAAGTTTGGGGTTGAGAGGAAACTGAAGTGTCTCATGACGAAAAAAGAAAACAAAAAACAGCTTTTTTTATGTATAGACCTGGTGTCGTCTCGGTTCTCGGTTGTTTATCCGCTTGAAGTTGCAATAACCTGGCGGCCTGGGCAAAAAAAAATAACTCTTAGACTTTGCGAAAACGTACGTAGTGGGTGAGTGATATGTGCCCGTGGGGTACTCCCGGAAAAATTTGGTGGGGGTGTGTGGCACGCTTTCCAAAACCCTTACCTTATTTAAGACCAAAATCTGTGATTTTCTCTACCCTATTTGTGACCAGACCAAAAATTCGATACCCTATTTATGACCGTTGCGGCTGACACAGTTGCCCTAAACATAAGATTGAAGGGCTTTTGTTGATGGTGATGAAAAATAGCTTTTTCTAAAAAACATACCCAATTTAAGACTTGAGTACAAGAACCTTACCCTATATAAGACCAGAATGGCTAAAGCGATACCGTATTTATGACCATACCCTTTGGGGCCGCACATACCTATATAGCCCACTTTATAGGGGAGTATCCCCCCTGGGATATATGTATGTATGTATGTATGTATGTATGTATGTATGTATGTATGTATGTATGTATGTAATACCAGTGAGTTGGGGGCTACTATCGAAAGCCAATAAAATAGCCATTTATAAAGGTGCATGGTCTCTGCTGAAATCAGTTATATTGCTCATTACGTTTTTTCCCTAAAAAAGTTAGATGTTGGGTCGAAAGTCCAACACTCTGAACCCTCCATTCCGTCTGAGCTTATAATTAATTGATATAATAATAATAACAACAACAACAATAACAATACTGTGAAAGTGAAGAATGATCATCGCAGTAAGTTTTCCAATTTAAGCAATTGGAAAGATGAAGTCTGAAAAAAAATCAGGGCTTGAACGGGATTCGAACCCGTGACCTCCGCGATACCGGTGCGATGCTTTACCAACTGAGCTATGAAGCCACACATTGGGAGCGAGGTCAGTC